CGGAGATATAAAGAGTTTGGTTCAGATTTCAATTTTGTTAAATAAAAGCAAAATTGTCGAAATCTGAACGAAATTCTTCATATCTCGGGCAATATTGAAAGCACAAAAAAGGCAGACCACATTTTGGAAATGGCAGGACAAGGGAAATTTTGTGATTATTATCTCTAGAAATTTACTTCTAGAATTAGGTTGATAAATTAACGCAGCAAATTATATCAAAAATCAAGACGACATTCAAGTCGTCCTGCATACTGTCATGTTTCGTGGGACACCCTGTACGTGAATTAAGAGAATTGAGAGAACTAAGAAAACTAATAAAACTAATAAAACTAAGTGAACTATGAGAATTAAGAGATTCATGATTTTATAAATATAGAATGCATTCGCCAATAAATTTAGCAGTCCACATATGAAGCTTTTGAAGATATGTTTTTCTCTTAAATATAATTTGCTAATCATTTTTGACACACCATTCATTATGACAATCAGACGGCTGTGCAGGTGAGCATCATGTAGGACGACATTACATAGCATCTAAAATCATAATTATAATAGTGTAATTTTCTCATTTTAAAATTAAAAGCAAGTTTTTCAAACCCGACCCAGACAATTTGTTACATATGTCAAATCCACATTGAAATATCTAGAAAGTAACTCCAACATTGGAGTTACGAGGTCAAGAAGCCGTAATAGCAATTCCACCAAAATTTGCTTGTAAAATTTTCATCAAAAGCTGAATTCCTAGGGAGTTCCAAGACCACGTGGCGTGGTTGTCGTCTCTTTTCCTTTAAAATCAAGATTTCGGATTTTGCATCAAAAGGAATGAGTCTTCTCTGATTATCATATTCATTTCTCTTTTCAACCCAATGTCATAGACCTTAGATGTTTCAAACTCTAAATTCTTTTAGATCAGATAGTTCATGTTTAGTGAACAGTATCTTTAAATAGTATTATTCTATTTCATGTTTTGTGAACAGTATCTTTAAACAGAATTACTCTAGTACATGTTTAGTGAACAGTATCTTTAAATAGTATTATTCTATTTCATGCTTAGTGAACAGTATCTTTAAATAGAATTACTCTAGTTCATGTTTAGTGAACAGTATCTTTAAAAAGAATTACTCTAGTACATGTTCAGAGAACAGTATCTTTAAATAGTATTACTCTAGTACATGTTTAGTGAACAGTATCTTTAAATAGAATTACTCTAGGTCATGTTTAGTGAACAGTATCTTTAAATAGAATTACTCTAGTTCATGTTTAGTGAACAGTATCTTTAAATAAAATTACTCTAGTCCATGTTTAGTGAACAGTATCTTTTAATAGTATTACTCTAGTCCATGTTAGGTGAACGGTATCTTTAAATAGAATTACTCTAGTACATGTTTAGTAAAAAGTATCTTGAAATAGAATTACTCTAATCAATGTTTTGTGAACAGTATCTTTAAATAGTATTATTCTATTTCATGTTTAGTGAACAGTATCTTTAAATAGAATTACTCTAGTTCATGTTTAGTGAACAGTATCTTTAAATAGAATTACTCTAGTCCATGTTTAGTGAACAGTATCTTTAAATAGAATTACTCTAGTCCATGTTTAGTGAACAGTATCTTTAAATAGTATTACTCTAGTCCATGTTTAGTGAACAGTATCTTTAAATAGTATTACTCTAGTCCATGTTAGGTGAACGGTATCTTTAAATAGAATTACTCTAGTACATGTTTAGTAAAAAGTATCTTGAAATAGAATTACTCTAATCAATGTTTTGTGAACAGTATCTTTAAATAGTATTATTCTATTTCATGTTTAGTGAACAGTATCTTTAAATAGTATTACTTTAATGAATGTTTGTTACAGTATCTTTATATAGAATTACTCCACACCATGTTTAGTGAACAGTATCTTCAAATAGAATTACTCTAGTTCATGTTTAGTGAACAGTATCTTTAAATAGAATTACTCTAGTAAATGTTTAGTGAACAGTATCTTTAAATAGAATTACTCCAGTACATGTTTAGTGAACAGTATCTTTAAATAGAATTACTCTAGTAAATGTTTAGTGAACAGTATCTGTAAATAGATTACTCTAGTTCATGTTTAGACTATCTTTAAATAGAATTACTCTAGTTCATGCTTAGTGAACACTATCTTTAAATAGAATTACTCTAGTCCATGTTTAGTGAACAGTGTCATTAAATAGAATCAATATATCTATAAGTCCATGTTTAATGAACAGTATCTTTAAATAGAATTACTCTAGTCCATGTTTAGTGAACAGTATCATTAAATAGAATTACTCTAGTCCATGTATAGTGAACACTATCTTTAAATAGAATTACTCTAGTCCATGTTTAGTGAACAGTATCTTTAAATAGAATTACTCTAGTCCATGTTTAGTGAACAGTATCTTTAAATAGTATTACTCAGTCCATGTTTAGTGAACAGTATCTTTAAATAGTATTACTCTTGTCCATGTTTAGTGAACAGTATCATTAAATAGAATCAATCTATGAGTCCATGTTAAGTGAACAGTATCTTTAAATAGAATTACTCTAGTCCATGTTTAGTGAACAGTATCTTCAAATATAATTACTCTAGTCCATGTTTAGTGCGCAGTATCTTTAAAAAGGATTACTCTAGTCCATGTTTAGTGAACAGTATCTTTAAAAAGGATTACTCTAGTCCATGTTTAGTGAACAGTATCTTTAAATAGAATTACTCTAGTCCATGTTTAGTGAACAGTATCTTTAAATATAATTACTCTAGTTCATGTTTAGTGCGGATCTGATATGCATAAACAGCTTTGAGAAGATGAATGCGGAAATAAGATTTGGTGCAACCTCAAGAACCATCTAATCTTACTCCAGGGACTGCAGAGACTCACCAGCCTGCAGGTCTTCCTTCTTCCCTGGTCAAGGGAGGGGGAGGAGCATCCCCTCCCCAGTCTTTTCTTTAGATTCATACTCATTTATATTGATATAAAAAAATCTACCCCTTTGACCCCCTTCCCCCTCCTTATCCTCACAGAAATGTAACACGGATTTTTGTCATTAGTTAAGCTTCTATCTAGTTTCTATGCATATTTAATTGTGTCGAGTAAACTCTGTTTCCACCAAACCTTGGTTCTGTTCACAGGTTGCTCATGAGCATTGTTTCTCTTAACTTTTAGAAACTTAATCTTCTAAAACCAGGATTTCTTTGCTTATTTATAATACTTTTCCAACATTTTCCAACAAATTGACTTTATTACAGTCATAATCAGAAAGAACCGTAAATAATTGACAGTAATTCAGGCGAATTTACATACATCTCTCTGAGAATTTTAAATGCTCAAAAAAGGCATACCCCATTTTGGAACTGGAGAGCTAAAGCTATTTTGTGATTATCGTTTCGTCAATCATATTTGTAAAATGAGATTGTAAAGTCGTCTGATTGAAGGAAGGAAGTACAGCCACAACAAGTTGAGCCACATTCTCCGCATTTTCTCGTCCGTGCCACATCGAAATCCTCGTCCTTCCAATATTATATTTTTTAAGTGTCTAATCCTCCAAGTTAAAACTATTTTAAAGGAATCTGACCACGTTAGGGCATAAATGAAGTATTGAATTTTTCTAAATCGAAAAAAATAGTTTCAATTGTGATAAAGCTTTCGAGTTTAGTCCTCTTAAAATGTTCACCTTTTTTAAGCGCATTTTCAGATATTCCTGGTGTAGAATGCCGCAAATAATTCAGATTTTATAGAACTTTAATCTTTTTGTTAACTATAGTAAAAACCATAAAATTTGTCCAGTTGGTTCCATGGGGAAAATGATAGGCAGAGGTATGCCAAATATTTTGCTATTTATTTATATCGCGAAGGTTAGCCATTACGGAGGCAGAAGAGATTTAAGTTTTACCTAAATAAAGTTTGACATCATTTACATTGGTTTGAAGATTCCAACATGATGTAATCATTGCAAAACTTTAGTTTATCTATATTTCATGTCCTAACGTGACCAGATTAAGAAAGAATAGTTTTATCATCGAGAATTGGAAACTTTAAACCGAAAGACGAGGATTCCGAGGTGGCTCAGACGAGAAATTGTTGTGGCTGGCCTTCCTCCCCTCTCTGAATAATTGTAAATTCCAGGTCTTTCTGATTAGCACCATGTATTTTTACAAATTGTCCTTAAAAAACGGAAAAAAGGAAATAATCCTTTACGATAAAAGCGAAAATAAATTGAATATTTTAATCTTTTTTTCACCCAAGACTACAAGAAAATCTTTAAGGTATAATCATGCCATCGAAAGCTGCTCCCAGAGATCTGAGTAATGTTCATTGTGTCCGGAGGACTAAAGACAAGGGAAAAAAAACAATATTTGAATAAAATACATTTCTTAAAATCTGTACTCGCTAAAGTAACTAAAATTAAGGAACCAGTTAGGTACAGTTGATTTTTTTGTGAAAAATAAAAAAAAATCTTTGAAACATTCTTTTGGTTGATTGATTTTGATCTTGATTAGTGATTTATTGTTTTATTTTTATATTTTAGAACGGAGAAGAGAAGATAGAGCTACTTGTTCTTTTTGATTGGGTAAATACATTGTGCAGTGATTTTAGCCCAAATATCCTTCATATAAAAACGTCACGAAATTTTTTTTTCCATAAAAAGGGAGAACACAGATCATTCATCTTTTTATTGGAAATCTCCGTACATTTGGATATTTTTCCCTTTTTCCAAGTTTCTATAAAGTCTCTTTTTGATTAATATTTTTGATTAAAGTTTTCTTTTCAGTTATTAATTGTTGCTTTAAAAACATTTCTTAACCCCCCAAATAAAGCATCTGCATTTTCTTTGTTCTCAACAAACGTTAATTGGCAAAAATCTGGAATATTTCTATCCTTCTCCTAATCTGGAATATTTTTATCCTAATCTGTAATATTTCTTTCCTTCTCTGGAATATTTTCATCTTAATCTGAAATATTTTTTATCTAAATCTGGAATATTTCCATCTTAATCTGGAATATTTCTACCCTATTCTGGAATATTTTTAATCTAATCTGGAATATTTCTATCCTAATCTGGAATACATCTATCCTAATCTGGAATATTTCTATCCTAATCTGGAATATTTCTATCTGAAGCTGAGATAATTTAGTCAAGCATATACAGGGTTACCCACAAAGGAAGAAACTGTAAAGACGACTTAAAATTCTTCAAATAGAGGATCCCAAGTTTATATGAAGTTTTCTGCCTTGAGTCTGGTCTTTAAATGGTTTATTTAATATTCTGGAAAAGAAAGAAATAAGATACATATTTGCAGGGAATCATAAATGGAAGGAAACAGACAGCATTAATTCCGTCCAGTCGTCTCATTGCGTTTTAACCCTGCTAATTGAAGGAAGACCCTGAGTGGGGACTGAGCGAGGATATAGTTAACGACATGAAGGAGCTGTTCATGATGCTGGACACAGATCAGGCAAACATTCAGAAATTCAACTTTAGTATACGAATAAGGTCTGGCAACACTTAAGAGTCGGACTGGTCTTAATCCATATTATTATTACTAATGTTATAATATATGAAGCGAAATAGTCGTCGTCTTCGTTTCTTTTTTTAATTAGAAAATGCAATTTACAATTTCAATGTACAGTTAAAACTGATACGTTTATTTATGCAAAAATTTCCAATTTGAAAAGTAAAAACAGAAAATATCAACAATTTTTTTTCAGAAATATGTAAGTTATACCATACCTACTATGCAGACATTTTTCTGTAATCAAATCGTTTCAAAAATAGAAATAGAGTAGAATTCCTCCTTAAAATTTAATCAAGTTTTTAAATTATGGAGGAAAATTTTGTAATGAATTAAAAATATTTGTTTTTTTAAATTTTAGGATGGAGTTTTAACGTTTATTGAGATAAAGAACGTGTTCAGATGTTTGGGGAAACGGCTTCCAGGTTTAATTTTAAAATAAATTACAAATTCCACATTAAACAAAAGTAAATTTAATTTTAGATTAAAATATTTAAAGTTTTTAAACTCTATTTTCATATTTTTTGAGTTCTCATCTGTAACGTAATTTTTCAAAACGTATTTGTTACAACTTTCTAAGAGTTACGATTTTGCCGGCTATCGGTAACAAACATACAGACACAAACAAAAATGATTCTACGGAAACTGACCTAGAGAAAACCGACCTAAAGGTTATCCAACCTGATAAGTTTTTGTTTTTAAGTATTTGTTGAGCCGTTTTTACGACTTAACCTATCCTAACCTGTTTTTAAAACTCCCCAGGTTAGACACTGAGAAAACACTTAACGGAAAACGCTTCGATCCATTTCCTCTATAGGTCGAATGAGCTTCGGTTCGACTTTTTATACTTTACAAATGAGATCTTTATTTTCTTTTAGATGAAGACATTACAAAAAAGGAAACCCTTAACAACAAAATAAAATATTTAGAATCTGGACTATATCAATTTAAATATATTTGTGGGACAAATGAAACGTATTAAAAATGAAGAAGTAGAATACTCTTTGCTCTTTGATTTATATCGAATAAATGTATTTCTGTAAAATCATAATTTTGATGGATTAAGTTACTGGGTTTCAAGGTTCGGAAATACAGTGAAGATGAAACCAATCTTAGTCTGGAGTTTAACGAGTTTTTAAAACTCATCTCAGCGGAGCTAAAGGAAGATCCAACCAAGGACGGAAACCAAATTCTCCAAGCTTTAAGGTTTAAAGGAATTGAGATTTTGCCACAAACTCTGATTTTCTAATTTCAATGTCGCTGCAACCCAATGTTGTAGACTTTTGAAATTTACAACTATGAATACTGTTAGATCTTATAATGTAAGTTTGAAATATCAGAGGTTTATATCATCAGGTTTGCAAAGATATATGGCTTACAAAAATTGAAGTTGTGGCAAAGACTAAATTCTTTTGTTGATTATAATATTTAACAAACCGAATTTTAAAGGGAATTTTTAGTAAGGTAAAAATTGTGCATGAAAAATATATTAACGCGCGATTTATGAACTTTGATTATTTGAACTCGGTTTTCAATAAATGTATTTGCAGATTTGTTCCAACTTCTTCAAATGTCGCGCGTCTTATAAATGCAATCGAATAAAATCTGCGGGAAATGTTTGGATAAAAAAAAGGAATTGAGTCTTTGCCACAAACTCAAATGTTCTATTCCTAGTTATAAACATAGATAAAGATAGATTGTGCATAAGACGACATTTTTCATCTTGAAAGATATAAATGTACAGAGATGTTTTAAAGATTTTCCTATTATATAGATTACCTAGGTCAGTTGTGAACATTGGCTGTTCTTATGTCATTGAGTACTTGTGGTGTACATGAGTTCTGTAGAGAGAAATTTAAGTTAGTTTAGTCCTTCTTATGTCCTTCTTCAGTTCTCGTCAATATGATATATTGCTCAGTGAAATATTGTTGTTCAAATAGTTATTTTACACTCTATTATGAAATCCATTAAAACACCAAACTACCCCGCTTATCATTGAAGTACACTTTGAGAAGTATGAGTTCGCGGACTGTATAATTCTTGGTGATTTTGCGTACATAAGCTATCTATGTTTATTTATTTATCTATGGTTAGAAATATCTAAGGTACGTCTACGACATAAGGTTGCAAAGATATATGGATTAGAAAATTACCGTTTGTGGCAAAGTCTTAATTCCTTAACAGAAATATACGATTAAATACATATAATTGCCTATTTTCGATGATAAGAGTTAAATATGTTTGTTCACAACTTGTTCCTAAGCAGGACGTTAGAAAACAACAGAATTTTATATTTTTTCGTAAAGAGCATTAAATGATTGTAAACATACGTTTCCTATGGAGAAGTACTTCTGGTAAAAATTTGGATGACAATGAATTGCGCTCTTGCATAGCCATTATACAACGTAAAGACATCATACTAATATCAAATAAATTCTAATATTATCTCTCAGATCAGCTACCCCTCCAATTGAAGATCACTTCTTTTAAGGTTTAATTAATTGTTGTTGATATTTAATTTACCACACTGTGTAATAAACAAAGAGAATAGAATATATATTAGAGTGGAATTAAGCCAATCCCTCGGTATGAATTTTTTCAGTCCCTTTCAGACTGAAAGGGAGTTCAAAGTGTACAAATCATGTAAATGTTCACCAATTATATGCAGTAGAGTACATAAATACAGAATGTTCCCTAGATAATCCATTTCAATTTCGAATTTTTAAAGCTGTTAAATAAACTTTATAAAAAGAATTAGGTGAATAAAAAACATCATTTGATTTATAGTTATAAGGGAAAATCATCGTTTGTAAAGTGAAAGGCATAGAGTCTATGTGAAATGATCATTTGTCAATTATGAAACCAGCCAATTTCATAATTTGGTTTTCTTTTAATATTAATTTTGGATTTTCTATAAAATGATGTTCCAGGGCCCAAAAGGTTATATAGCACAAATATGTGAAGTACACCTGCAGTATGGAAACAGTACAACAAAATGGCCGTTTTACACTTTTTTCTATGAAAATTCCACTCTAATATAAATTCTATTCTCTTTGGTAATAAACAGCGGAATTATAGTGTCGTCTTTACTCTTAACTTTCATCCTAGTGGAAATACCGCGCTATAGATTTTCAATTTGTAATTTGCAAACTGAGATATTTTTAATAAAGCGCGCACCCTAGACAGAGAAATATGACTTTACACATTTGCAAATTCCTATCAGCATCCGGTTCTTTTTCGGTCATCACTGTATGATTTAGTTTGTTTGACCAAGACGGAGATGGAAAACTGTCGGAGGATGAGCTCCGACGAGTCATGGTTTCAATTGGAGAATTTGTAATCCCGGAGCCGGAGTTTAATCAGTTATTACAGGTACATAGAGATCCAGACTGTTATGCAAATTTGCGACAATTTTCACGATTGCTGTGTCGATTTTGAAGTTTCGCAATTCTAAAACTCTCGTCGATTATCACGAGACAGCTTGCAATTTTTGGACCTCTGTGAAGGCCACTCTTTCTTTTTTTTCTTCATTTATAAAAGATAAATTTGCGATGAGAAATATGCTAAAATTCTCAAAGCTTCTGGTTTTGGAAACAACTTCTCTTGCTAACTAGTTTATTTTTTTAGCGACTTGTTTACTATAATATAAAGACTAGTTTTATATTTGTAGCGACTTGTTTACTATAATATTATAAAGACTAGTTCTATATTTGTAGCGACTTGTTTACTATAATATAAAGACAAGTTTTATATTTGTAGCGACTTGTTTACTATAATATAAAGACTAGTATATTTGTAGCGACTTGTTTACTATATATAAAGACTAGTTTTATATTTGTAGCGACTTGTTTACTATATATAAAGACTAGTTTTATATTTGTAGCGACTTGTTTACTACATATAAAGAATAGTTCTATATTTGTAGCGACTTGTTTACTATATATAAAGACTGTTTTTTTTTACCAACAATTTTCAACGAAACTTATAAATTTTTAAAGTTTTAAATACTATATTTTTTGTTGTGTTCGACTAAAAGTACACATTGATAACCGTAAAATTTTAACAATAGAGATTGAAAAATTTAGAAGAAAAAAATTTCTAGTTCTGCAGATTTAATTTGTTTCATTTTGGTTGGTTCAAACATTTTAAATGTATTTAGATGTTGGAGAAGGATGAGAACGGGTTGATTGAGATTTCTCTGATAGCAAAAATTCTCAGCCCAGATAAATAAATGATTTAAAATCGTAAAAAATAAATTTTTATCTTTTTTTTAATTGTGTTATTATTAATTTCAATAATAGCCAATATCATATAAAATGGTTGATTTGAAAATTAAGAAAATTTGAAAAAATATATTTGAAGTATCCTACATTGCTTTTTAGATCTTTCAATGTACTTGTACATCGTACATAAAGGAGTATGTATAAATATGGAGAAATTTACAACAAAAAATAAGACTTTAAAAACGACCTGAAAGCCTTTAAAGAATCCAAAATTTTAAAAAGGTTGAATCACAGAATCGCAGAAAATTTGGAAAATTGTAATTAGAAAATTCGCAATTTTCAGTTCTGGTCTAATTTTTAACGGAAAAATTGTTTTTCAATGGTTCTTAAGGTTTTAACTGAACAGCGTATATTTGATACTTTAGAATATATACTAAGAAGAAAGGAACTATAGAATTTAGATAACTTCTCCTTAAAAATTAGATCAGAACTAAAAATTGCAAATTTTCTTATTTTAATTTTGCGAATTTTTTGTGATTCTGTGATTCAATCTTTTTAAAATTCTAGATTTCGATCAAAATAATTTATACACACATTTTTGCTTTTCTGAACTTTTGATTTTGAGAGAAAAAAGGTTCGCCGCAAATCAAACTTTTTTTTGACTCATCCTGTATATTTGACAAGAAGAAAAATTGGGAGGGGGGGAATACCAAGGGATTACAAAATAAATTTTGTCATAAAGCTTTCACAAAAGTCCTTTATGAAGTTTTATCCTTTGTGGGTCTCCCTGTAATGCTATGTTCTGGTTTTAAATATACAGGTTGTATGTTTCTGCTCTTTAATAAACAGAACCCAGACATGTATTACTTAGAATCACCTATGCAGTTCCTTTCCCTGCCTTTCTTTCGTGTCACGTAACATATTCCCCAATACCACGTGACCTCGAGCTCTGAAACTGTTTTTCTATCCTGTTTGTGCAGGTAGAAAAGGCCAGGTGAGATCAGTGGGTCAACACACTCGCCAGCCTCCGCCTATGTTAGATGCAGCCTCGGGTCGGACCCAATACCTTTATATACGGAGATATCGAGATATATTTACTTCGGAGTAGTTTCTTAATCCTGTTTAATGGATGGATAAATTCGTAACCGGAACTTTCGAAACTTAATTAATAAAACCGGAAATGTATAGGGATTGCAGGGGGAAAGATTATCACTGTTATATCTCAAATAAAAATAATGATTGGGTGGTAAATCTATAAAAAGTAACAGAAGGGCCGGTAACTTCATCCAAGACGGAAAGGAGAATTTTTTAAAATTTTTTAAAACTAAATATTTTTTTATTTCCGTAAAGTTATTTCTGTTAACAAAATTTACATGTAAATATTAACATGGTTACTATATACGACAATGCCATTTTTTATATAAATAATGATTGGGTAGTAAATCTATAAAAAGTATCGAAGGGCGGTAACTTCATCCATGGACAATTAGCGTAAAGGAGAATTTTATAAAATTAATATTTTCTTGCAGCAATTTGCCTTCTTTTTAATTTACGTATATACTGTAAATAGAAGACTTATAAGCAGACACGCTCCAGGACTTAAAAATCAACATCTTTATTTTCAATCTTTCCAAACTCAGAAACATTATACTCAGACTAAAACTGTCAAAAATATCTATGTTTTCCTGAAAAATACAAGATTTAGTGGGAAGGGGGGGAATTATTATAAAGGGAAAGTGCAGTGTAGGAAGGGGTGGGTGAAACATCGGTAAAAGTTAGAGAAGGGAAAATTAGTTTCTTGGTTCTTATAAAGTTTGATCGATATTCAGGCAGTGGATCCTGCTTCAGGCAGTCGTAAACCAAACATTGCACCTTAGAATTAGATTTTTAATAGTTATTTTTTGAATAATTCAAGACGCTTCAAACCCTTGCAATTGGACCTCAAAACGTTACTATAGTAGACTGAGTTCTTTTCACAAACTCTTTTCTAATTCCTACATCTTTGCAACCTGGGACCAAATTTACTGCTTACCACCGGTTCAAATTTGAATCACTGTTTCAAATCCTTCTTTAATGATTAACTTTGAATCGATGGTTTAAATTTGGACCGGCAGTAGGTAGTTCTGCTCAAATTTATTTAATTCGGGCTCCGATGTCGTAGACCTTTGATATTTCAAACTGTGAATTCTGTTAGATTAAATAGATTAAGTTTAAAATATAAAAGGTTTACTCGTACATTCAGATTAAAAAGATAAAGGGGTTAGAAAATTATCGTTTGTGGCAAGAACGTAGCTCCTAGTGTTGTGCATAGTAATTCTAGAACATCTTGCATATTTTTAAAATGACCCGTGGGACGTTTTCTTGGTTCTAGTAATATTTTCGTAAAAATCTTGAAATCCAAGAAAGGTAGAATGTCAAAGGTGTTTGAACAAAAATGACAAAAATATTTTTATAGCTTTTCTGTTTATGTGTTCGTTTTCTTTGGATCCAAAAAAAACTAAATTGAACCGATCAGGCCCATTCTTTGAGACCTGATCCGGGTCGAGTAAGGTTTACAGACAGGTCAGAAAAAAAATTGCTAATTTAGTTTAAGAAAAAATATTCGCTGTTAAAATAAATAATAAAAAGAGCATTCTAACAGCCTAGTTAAATAAAATTGATGAACGGAGAAATTACTTGCAGAATATAATGACCAAACTCTAGACTCCAGAATGAAAAATGAACGCTACTATGTTAAATGGTATACCGGTACTACGCTACTATGTTAAATGGTACACGGAGATAGAATAAAAACCAAGAGAAGAAAGGATTTAATATGGCAGAGGGACCAGATAAGAGGTAAATATTCAGATGTTGGCAACTTACTTTAAAATAATCTAAATACAGGATTATACACAAATGTAACGATCAAGAAGTTTATCACTTTTCTTCGCAATAGGTTTACAACTACACAGGGAATCATAAATGAAAGAAAAATGACAAAATAAATAAAAAAGTGTATTCTCAGTGGGTAACCCTGTATCATCTAAAATTTTAAATTCTTGTCCTGTGATTTCAAAAATGTGATCCCCATACATAATATCGCCGTCATTTAAAATAAAAATCAAGAAGTTTAGGAAAGCCATTAATAATTACAACTATTCTTTAAAAACATACCTTGGCAATTCTGAGTCACTATTGTCATTTTGATATCTATAGAAGGGTAAGCATCATTTTCAAGGAATAATAAAAAATGTTTAAAATCATTTGATAATCCACGGAATTTCATTAAATTTTTATATATATGTACGTAATATATATAAAATTGTAATCTCTGTTTGTTTGTTTGGAAGTCATATCATAACTCAGGAACTCCTGGACCGATTAAATTTTTTATTAGGGAATGTTCTTAGTTTGGTTAATAAGTTCTAAGTTCAGTGTGTTGACTTTAATAAGGACAAAAAGCTAAAAGCAAGCGCATGGTAAACGGCGAGAGAGTAACGATATCAGTACACAGGGCAATGCTGGGTTCCCAAGCTAGTATCTTATAAGAATAGAAATAAAACTTCTTTTTTAGTTTCATGATCCGAGTTTAAAGTTCTTATTTCTCCGCAGGTTGGAATTTATCCAGGACTATACTCTGAAGAGCTTGAGACTCAAACCGGATAAATGGAACAAACTCATCATCTCAGACGAACAGAGAACTTTCATAACAAATTTTGTGGAACGGGGTGAGTTACCGGTTTGGTAGGTTGGATTAGGTACCAACCTTTATATGAGGATGGTTGAGCTACCAAATTTGTGTAATATGTAAAATTAATTCAATTCTGGATTCTGAGAATACCGATCTTTTGGAAAGGAATTGAGTCTTCAAGCCATCAGGTTGAAATATGTAGAAATAGAAAATTTAAGATTGTGGCAAAGAATCAAGAATATATATGAAGAATATATGGTTTCAAAAATTTCTACAAAAATAAATAATATAACTTTGTCTCTTTTTAATCATGAGCAAGTGTAGAAAGATTGACGTAGAAGACGACATTTCTAATCAAGTTTTTAAAATTATTGTAGGAATTCCTCAGGAGTTGATTATCTCCCAGAACATAGGTGGCCAGCTCCAGGTACACAATAAACACAAAGAAATAGACAGTCTTTGACCATAGATATCTAGGTTCATACTGATTGGCCGAGCCCTCTGAGAAATAAAGGAGTTTTCTTCGTTAAGCGGGAGAAAGAACCACTTCCTGAGGTAAGCAGTATCAAAATCTATCATGATACAGTCAAAACCAGAAAGAGTGAGCTAGGAAGACGACATTAACGCAATAATTAAGTGTATTTGATGTTGTTAGCAAGCAAATACTTTTACTATCTTGAAACCTACACATCTAATATGGTATATGCTGCACCCGGAAATGATTTATTCAAAGCACTAAATTCAGATTTAAAGAAACAATAACGTTTGTTAACTCAGCTTTTTATTTGCTCGTCTAGTTCTAGATCTAGTCTAATTCTAGTTCTAGTTCTAGTTCTAGTTCAAGTTCTAGTTCTAGTTCTAGTTCAAGTTCTAGTTCTAGTTCTATTTCTAGTTCTAGTTCTAGTTCTAGTTCTAGTTCTAGTTCTAGTTCTAGTTCTAGTCTAGTTTTAATTCTAGTTCTAGTTTATAAATAGTTCTAAATCTAGTTCTAGTTTTAGTTCTAGTTCTAGTTCTAGTTTAAGTTCAACTTCAAGTTCAAGTTCAAGTTCAAGTTCAAGTTCAAGTTCTAGTTCTAGTTCTAGTTCTAGTTCTAGTTCTATCTCTAGATCTTGTGTTCCAGGATGAGGATTTGCTCAACTATGTGGCGGTCGGAGATATTCATCCCAATGCACTTGGTAAGATAAGAGACAGAAAAGAGGACTTGAAAAGAATTGGGGTAAACAGAGAATATAAAAAGAGATAAAAAGAGAATACAAATAAGGGTACAGATAGAATACAAATTGGGGGATACAAAGAGAATATGAATAGGGATTCAGATAGAATACAAATAGAGGTACAGAGAGAATACAAATAAGGGTACTGAGAGAATACAAATACGGTTATAGAGAGCATACAAATAAGGTTACAGAGAGAATAAAAATAGGGGTATAGAGAGACTAAAAATAATGGTACAGAGAGAATACAAAAAATTGTACAGAGATTATACAAATAGGGGTTCAGAGAGAATACAAATTGGGGGATACAAAGAGAATATGAATAGGGATTCAGATAGAATACAAATAAGGGTAGAGAGAGAATACAAATAAGGATACAGAGAGAATACAAATACGGTTATAGAGAACATACAAATAATGGTACAGAGAGAGTACACATTGGGGTACAGTGAGAATACAAATAAGAGTACATAGAGAATACAAGTAAGGCTACAGAGAGAATACAAATAGGGGTACAGAGAGAATACTAATAAAGGTACAGAGACCAGACAAACAATGGTACAGAGAGAATACTGATAGGCGTAAAGAAAGCACAAATAAGGGTACAGAGAGAATACAAATACGGATACAGAGAGAATACAAATAAGGGTATAGAGAGAATACAAATAAGGGTACAGAGAGAATTCAAAAAAGGGTACAGAGAGAATACAAAAAAAGGGCAAAGAGAGAATACAAAAAGGGATACAGAGAGAATACAAATAAGGGTGCAGAGAGAATACACATAGGGGTACAGAGAGAATACAAATAAGGGTACAGAGAGAATACAAATAAGGGTACAAAGAGAATACAAACAGGATTACAAATAGGGCTATTAATAAGGGTACAGAGAGAGAATAAAAAAAATATTTGTTTAGATCACTTCTGTGCCTGGGTTGAGGAGGTTGTTGTTCCTATTTTCAAAAATGAGAAGAATATGTCCAAGTTCCCGCAATGTGTATCGGACGGTAAGAAAAATTCAGTTACTTGAAGGTGTTGTCGACATTACAGGGGATATTATGTTCCTAAACTAACACTTCGTCCATTTCTAACACTGAGTGTTAGAAATTAAATGATCTTTAAATCCAAGAGGAGTAGAACAAAATTACACCATATATTTATAAAAAATGGCTAAAACTATATATTGAAACAGTAAATGTCAATTTTAAACTAATAGTAATGTGTGAGAATTGGTTTTTGATGATTCTTGATTTCATTTTCTAACATATCCATATTTTGAAACAATTACCGGATTTAAGCACATGACGCGTTTTCGAAACATATCCTGGTTTTGAGACAAATACCGGAATTCACATCAATGTCAATTTTCAATTATTTACGCACTTATAAAACAAAACAAGATTTTTTGATAAGATAAAATATAAACAAAATAGAAAATAAAAACAAACTGTTCTCTTTTAATTCATAGATCATACAGCATTGAGAAATCAAAATAGTAATATCATATGTTCTTACAAAATAGATTAAACTAGAAATGCGGGAAAGTGTTCGTTTAAAATGCTTGAAAATAAATCATATATATTCTCTAATTTAACAGATAAAATGTGGAAACTTAGATTCTAGAAATAATTATTTTCTAATGTGATTTCTCAGTGTAGAATAACGACGTCGGGCATGTAAATCTGTAAATGTTGAGTAACTTGAAATTACTGTATCCTGCAAGTTCTTAAACAAAATATTTCCAAGTTTGTTCCGTCTGTGAAAGGTGTAATTACCGATTAAAGTTATCAGTTTTTTAAAAATATTTTTTCTAAAAATGCTTGATCCTTGGTTTGCTCCGTAGTTTACATCACAACTTCACAAACAGAATTCTTAATTATTTGCTCCGTAGTTTATATCACAACTTCACGAATCACGAACAGAATTCTTGGTTGGTTTGCTTCGTAGTTTACATCACAACTTCACGAACAGAATTCTTGGTTAGTTTGCTCCGTAGTTTACATCACAACTTCACGAACAGAATTTTAGGTTGGTTTGCTTCGTAGTTTACATCACAACTTCACAAACAGAATTCTTAGTTGGTTTGCTCCGTAGTTTATATCACAACTTCACGAATCACGAACAGAATTCTTGGTTGGTTTGCTCCGTAGTTTACATCACAACTTCATGAACAGAATTCTTGGTTGGTTTGCTCCGTAGTTTACATCACAACTTCAACGAACAGAATTCTTGGTTGGTTTGCTCCGTAGTTTNAACGAAGTGAGAGGGTGTCAAATTGTATGAGCAAGGGGAGACGAAAACTTGTAGATACGATAGATTGGGTCTACATAATATTGTCAAATGTTATTCTTAAACAATCATCAATATATCATGCGTTTTTTGACCAATCAAAAAATGTTGTCCTCATTCTATTCGTTTTCCTTCCTATCCCCTGTATTGCCCCTGTCTAAGATTAAGAGCTGAATGGGTTGTATAGGCTGCAAGGTTTAAGTGCTTGGATTTATTTGGCTTGACGTGTGGACACAAAATTACCAGAACCAGGGATAAATATTCTTTTACAAAAGGAACTTTTAATTTCGTTTGTCAAGAATATCTTAAAAATATTTTTTTCAACGACTTTTTAGAATTTCCTTATTTGGTCTGAAAACTTGCCTCGTTAATGTATCGGAGAAAGAGGGGGGGGGGTCCGGCACATAGCCAGGATTCTGATAGGGTCATGAGAAGTTTTCAATCCTATCCCTTCTTCCTGGGAACCTAGAGTTTGATATAAGTCCTATGCTAACAAGAAACTGGAGCGGCCCCGTCCTGTTTATAAACAGGAAAACCCATGTTGATAAACAAACTGTGATTGTTTTAAAAAGTTCCTAAACTATTTGTTTATTTTTGTAAACATATGTCTTTAAATAGTCAAACCATGTTTTCTTTGTCTATAAATAGTATTTCGGACATAGAGAAAAATAAATATATCAATTTGTAAATTGTACACAACGTTGTCTGTGCAGGACGGTTTAAGATCAATCTATATTGATTTCAAATTTATTATAAACTATGCTTGAAAACCCGGCATTGTCCAGGTTACTCATAGTTACTCCCACCGTTTACCCGCGCTTGGTGCTTAATTACGATTTAACAATTTTTTCTTAAAAAAGTGGACCCACTCAACTTAGAATCTCATGAGTTTCATAAAAGAAATTTGAGGCAAATCGGTCAAGGCGTAATGATCGGACAAAAGAAACAAACAAACAGATTTAACATCCATATTTATATAGATACTTTGAGACGAATTTAATTGGTTAATGACAGATTAGGATATAACATTCAAGGGAATATAAAATATAAGGATGGTTTAACATTAATTCTAAATACTTTAAGACGAATTTAATTGGTTAAGATATAATATTTAAATGAATATAAAGATGATAGAATACTTGTGAATATTACGGGTTAAAGTCTTCAAGTTACAAATATTTAATGGTTGATGTTAAACTGATTTATTACAGAATATCAATTATCATAGCTGTAGAGCTGGAGAGTTGTAGAGGTACAGTTGAATCTGTACAGTTGAATCTGTACACTTGAATCTGTACACTTGAATCTATACAGTTGAATCTATACAGTTGAATCTGTACAGTTGAATCTGTACACCTTTTGTACAGATTAAGTAATGTAAAAAGTGTAATCGTACACCTTTAGTATTGCTAAGAAGTGTACAGTACATCTTTATGACAGTAAGGATATGTACCGTACATCTTTACCATAGTAAAGAAGTTTCCTGTGTAGCTTTAGTGATGTACAAATGTATACCGTACACTGTACAGCCTAAACAGTACTATTACATAAATGTTTAACAGCTGGGACAGTTAAAAACTAAACTTTGTCTTTAGAGATGCAAGTCTAAGTGAGATATTTAAATATAAGGGAGGAGATGGATTGGACCTTTAACAACAGTGGATAAAATTTTTACTTTTAAATTGTTTTTGTTTCCTCCAAAATACATACTTTATATTGTAGATATCAAGAGACAGGTTCATGAGTTGTCTACCAGTGTTTACCAGATCAGAGGACATATCAAGGGGAAAACCCTCCTACCTTTCCCTCAGGTTAGAAATACCAGATCAGAGGATATATCAAGGGGAAAACCCTCCTACCCTTCCCTCAGGTTAGGAATATCAGATCAGAGGATATATAAAGTGAAAAACCTTCCTACCCTTCCCTCAGGTTAGGAATACCAGATCAGAGGATATATCAAGGGTAAAACCCTCCTACCCACCCCTCAGGTTAGGAATACCAGATCAAGGGGCATATCAAGGGGAAAACCCTCCTACCCTTCCCTCAGGTTAGGAATACCAGATCAGAGGATATATCAAGGGGAAAACCCTCCTACCCACCCCTCAGGTTAGGAATACCAGATCAAGGGGCATATCAAGGGGAAAACCCTCCTACCCTTCCCTCAGGTTAGAAATACCAGATCAGAGGATACATCAAGGGGAAACCCTCCTACCCTTCCCTCAGGTTAGAAGATTGAAACCAAGGCGCAGGGTGTACTGAAGAGCAATTAACATCTGTTTGTTTACAATAAACTAGTTCAAAAGCTATCCTAATACGTAATTGTATAATGTGAACAAACTTTATCTTCTTCTCCTTAGCTCTAATACTCCCTGCGACAAACTATTTTACAAATAACAGTGTATAAACTTCGCAACTTACCTGGGATGTAATGTAAATAAACATATCATACTCAGGGAGCTGCTATGATAGAGGAGGAGGAGAAGAAGGTTCGAGAAAGCAGCGGAGCAGATTGTGATATGTTACTCAAGAATAATATCGAGGGAATTATTATCAAGTGGGCTTATCAGGTAACATTGGCGTATCAGGTAACAGGGATGTATCAGGTAACAGGGTGTATTAGGTAACAGTAGGGTGTATTAGGTAGCAGTAGGGTGTATTAGGTTACAATGGGTGTATTAGGTTACAATCGGTTTATCACTTAAAAGTGGGTGTATTAGGTAACAGTGGGTGTATCAGGTAACAGTGGGTGTATCAGGTAAAAGGGGGTGTATCAGGTAACAGTGGGTGTATCAAGTAACAGTGGGAGTATCAGGTAAGAATGGGTTTATCATTTATCAGTGGGTGTATCAGGTAACAGTGGGTGTATCAGGTAACACTGAGTTTATCACTTAACAGTGGATGTATCAGGTAACAGTTGGTGTATCAGGTATTAGTTGTTGTATCGGATACAGGGGCGTATAAGGTATTCTGTAACTTCTGCTTAGAACTCTATTAAGTAACCCATCCTATTTATCGAACTGTATCTTTAAAGAGTATTATACTAGACTGAAGAGGTTCTGAGTAAGGACAGTGCAGAGGAACTAAACGATGGGAAGAATCCAGGTCCTCTCACAGAGATCAGGTATACAGGAGAAAAAATTAATCCATCCTTCTTGTACTTTCTTTAATGAAATAATCACAACCATAACTATCACTGTGATTATGGGGACACAGTAGCAATCCATAATTTTTTTGTTTATTGCTTGAGAACTGAATTTTATGTACTTTTGTCTGTCGTTCAGTATTTTTTTTACAACATAACACTTTAAATATAATCTAGTTTTTAGTTTCTATCTTTTCTTTCTTCTATTAAAACAGTTTTATATTTACAAATTATGGAATACGAGAATTAATAAAAATTCTGTAAACCCAATTTTACTTTATTCATTATTGTTTTTTTTTTTTTAAAGATTTTGGGAAGCCAAGTGTATGAATCTGGAATCATTATTTGAACAGGTATTTTCTTCCTATCTTGTTCCTTACTATAGCACCTAAAAATAGCAAGTATTTACCCTAATACCTACCTAGTATCTACTTAGTATCTATCTTTTACCTACCTAGTGCCCACCTAGTACTTACCTAGTATACCTACCTAGTACCTACCTAGTATCTACCTAGTACCTACCTATATCCAACTAGTATCTACCTAGAAACAGCCAGTATCTACCTTGTATCTATTTATCACCTACCTATTGCCTACCTAATATCTGTCTATTATCTACCTATTACCTACCTAGTACCTACCTAGTAACTACCTAGTATCTACCTAGTACCTACCTAGTATCTACCTAGTATCTACTTATTACCTACCTTTTACCTATCTATTACCTACCTTGTACCTACCTAGTACCTACCTAGTACCTACCTAGTACCTACTTAGTACTTACCTAGTTTCTACCTGATATCTCCCTATTACCTATCTAGTACCTTCCTAGTACCTACCTAGTACCTACCTAGTACCTACCTAGTACCTACTTAGTACCTACCTAGTATCTATCTATTATCTCCCAATTACCTATCTAGTACCTACCTAGTGCCTACCTAGTACCTTACTAGTACCAACCTAGTACCTACCTTGTACCTACCTAGTAACTACCTAGTACCTACCTCTTGCCTACCTAGAAATTATAGTAACTAACTAATACCTACCTAGTACCTGCCTAGTACCTAGCGCGTACCTACGAAATACCTTCTCAGTGCCAACCTAGTGTCTATCTAGCATGCTTACCTAATGCTAACCTAGTACCTATCTAGAGTATCTACCTAGTACTAACCCAGTACCTACCAATCTTCATATCTGCCAACTCATTCTCTACCATATACTTATCTAACAACTCCTATTCTACCAATCTATCAATCTACGAATTTACCACTCGATTCTATCGATCTGTCGATCTAACACTCCAACAATCTACCAATATACCACTTTAACAATCTACCAATATACCACTTTAACAATCTACCAATATACCACCCTTGCAACCTACGAATTACCACTCTATAAACCTATATGTCTACCAGTGATCAATATACTTAACTTTCCTTGGACAGAATTTTGTGAATTTGAGCTATGAATTTAATTTGGTCCTGTTATTTGTTCTGCGTGTAGATGAAAGCGAACACTACAAGGAAGATGGCAAGTATTCTGAACCTAACAGACAGTGCTTACTATCCCTGCTTCAGGTAAATAATTCTTCTACCATTTAATTATATAAACGTAATCAATCAATCAATCAATCAAATAAACAAAAACTTTCATATATTTTACAGATTATGGAACTAATTGTTAATATCATTATAGTTCTCTTTGTTTAGATCAATGTTTCGTAACGTTGTGGCATCCCTCAACGAAGCTCTAGACATCACTATGCATCTGAAACCTCTTACTGCACACTTTGAGGTGTGATATTTTCTCGACTCATTGTTGCATTCAATCCATTCAATCAGAGCCATAAAGGCATTTAGCAAATTCATACCAATCATATGTATAATACACCTAAACCTACACCTTTTCAGGTATTGGAGAATACTGAGTTTACTGATGTAAGACCATTGTTTCCTCCACTAATGCATGTCGTATGCCTGGTTTACTCCAACTCTACCTACTACAGTTCAGCAGCCAGGATTATTGTTCTACTCCAGGTAAAAGAACTGTTAGAGTTTGGATATTGTAGTTCTCTGGAGGTAGGAGAACTACTAGAGCATGGTTATTATTCTTCTACAAAGGAGAACTGCTAGAGCATGGTTTTTGTTCTTCTCCAGGTAAGAGAACTACTAGAATATACTTATTGTTCTTCTCCAAAGGAGAACTGCTAGAGCATGGTTTTTGTTCTTCTCCAGGTAAGAGAACTACTAGAATATACTTATTGTTCTTCTCCAGGTAGAAGAGCTACTAAAGCATAATTATTGTTTTTCTCCAGGTAGGAGAACTACTAGAACATGATTTTTGTTCTTCTCCAAGTAGGAGAACTACTAGACCATGGTTATTGTTCTTCTCCAGGTAGCAGAACTACTAGAACATGGTTATTGTTCTTCTCCAGGTAGGAGAACTACTTGACAATGGTTGTTGTTCTCCTCCAGGTAAGAGAACTTCTAGAACATGGTTCTTGTTCTTCTCCAGGTAGGAGAACTACTAGACAATGGTTGTTGTTCTTCTCCAGGTAAGAGAACTTCTAGAACATGGTTTTTGTTCTTCTCCAGATAGGAGAACTACTAGAGCATAGTTCTTGTTCTTCTCCAGATAGGAGAACTACTAGAACATAGTTATTGTTCTTCTCTAGATAGGAGAAATACTAGAGCATAGTTATTGTTCTTCTCCAGGTAGAGGAACTACTATAGTATGGTTATTATTTTTCTCTATACAGAGAACTGCCAGAACAAGATTATGGTTTTTCTCTGGTTAAGAGAACTACTACAATATGGTTTATATAAAGACTATTGTCTACCGGAGTTGCCAACTGGAGACTTTTCTGTGGAGGGGGGGGGGGGCTCGAATTGGTATAAAGTACGAGTAATTAATGTTTATTTGGGGTCTTAACATTTTTTTCAGTTTTTAAGGGAAGAGCATAGCTAGAATAAAAAATGTCACCACCTCCCCTTCTTTAACTTAGAATTTTATTATCACCTGAAAAAGAAAACAAAAAAGTCAATTTAAAAACTATATCAAAATCGCAATCCTCTCTGGTTTTATCCTATCTGGTTTTATCTTGTCTGGTTTTATCCTATCTGGTTTTATCCTGTCTGGTTTTATCCTGTCTGCTTTTATCCTGCCTGGTTTTATCCTCTCTGGTTTTATCCTATCTGGTTTTATCTTGTCTGATTTTATCCTATCTGGTTTTATCCTATCTGGTTTTATCCTGCCTGGTTTTATCCTGTCTGGTTTTATCCTGCCTGGTTTTATCCTCTCTGGTTTTATCCTATCTGGTTTTATCTTGTCTGGTTTTATCCTGTCTGATTTTATCCTGTCTGGTTTCATCCTATCTGGTTTTATCCTGTCTGGTTTTATCCTGTCTGGTTTTATCCTATCTGGTTTTATCCTATCTGATTTTATCCTGTCTGGTTTAATCCTGTCTGGTTTAATCCTATCTGGATTTATCCTATCTGGTTTTATCCTGTTTGGTTTTATCCTATCTGGTTTTATCCTATCTGGTTTTATCCTGTCTGGTTTTATCCTGTCTGGTTTTATCCTATCTGGTTTTATCCTATCTGGTTTTATCCTATCTAGTTTTATCCTATCTGGTTTTATCCTGTCTGGTCTTCCGTATTCTTTCAACTGTGTAGTTTCTAATGAACACGATAGACAATCTAATATTGTCAAAAAGTTATTGAGTGTTATCATTTTTACTTTTAGACATCAATTAAAACCCCTAAAGGTTACTTGTATTGAATTTAATATAAAAAAAAGTGAAATCATTCAGATTTAAAAAATGTCTGAAAGTGTTATTTTTTGTTGAATTCCAATTGACGATGTTATTGTTTAATCACAATTTCTTTGATTGTTTTGTTTTATTTGAGAACAGTGTTTGCAGTTTTAAATACACCTATTATGATACAAAAATCTGAATAGAATCAATTTACCAGCAAATTTAGAATAATTACTCTGTTCAGTCAAGCATAAAAAATAAAGCTCTCATTAGCTCGCAAACTGTTTTAATTGTTCTAATTAGAAAGTTTGATGCAAGATTAGTAATTATTTAAATAATGATGTATTATTACATCTTTAGATATTGAATAATAAAACTATTTTTACGATTGAAAATATCAAATTTTACTATCGGTACCAACTAAGATCACAGTCTATTCTCATTTCTCTGCGTTCCATCCAAACCTTTAGCTTAGATCTAATTATTCCATGTGACTCTAGAATCAACTCAGTACTTTGAAAGGACTAAGATCTAAACTTGGCGACGAGCTATAAAATTTTGTCGCACTCCAAGTTCATTCACTCCTAAACCTTCTTTCCTAAACACGTAGAATATTTAAACCTTTCATTTTCAAAATAAAATCTTAATATTAAACTTCTGTTTTAACTTACTCTTTCACAAACTAAAATTCGAGAAATTATTTAGTTTTTTTTCTTTTTTACAGAATCCAGGAATAATTTAGGGTTTCTCCTCATCTATAGAACCCAGGAATAACTCAGGGTGTATCCTTCCCTATAGAACTCAAGACTAACTTAGGGGTTTTCCTCTCTTATTGAATCCAGGACTAACTTAGAGTTTTTCCTATCCTATAGAACTTAGGACTAAATCAGGGTCTCTCCATTTCCAAAGAACAGCCAGGACTATCCCAGGGTTCTACTTTCCTGTACAACCCAGGACTAACTCAAAGTTTCTCCTACCCTATAGAATCCAGGAATATATAAGGTTTTCTCCTACATACCCTTGGTCAATCTCAGGTTTTCTCCTTTACTTTATAATCCAGTATAATCTCAGAGTTTCTCCTCCCCCATAGAACCTACGACTAACTCAGGACCAATGCAGATTTTCTCCTTCCCTTTAGAATCCTGGAATCTTTCCCTCTTTCTTCTTTCCTGTAGAATCCAGGACTGAGTTCGTTTTTTTTTCTTCCGGAGTTTCCTTTTCCTACAGAATATAAGAATAACTCAGGGGTTTTCCTCTCCTGTAGAACTCAGGACTAACTCAGAGTTGTTCCTCTCCTACAGAACTCAGGACTAACTCAGAGTTGTTCCTCTCCTACAGAATTCAGGACAAACTCAGGGTTTCTCCTTCATTATAGAATCAAGGACTAACTCAGGGCTTCTCCTCTTCTATAGAATCTAGGACTAACTCAGGGTTCCTAACTCAGGGCTTCTCCTCTTCTATAGAATCTAGGACTAACTAAGGGTTTCTAAATCAGGGCTTCTCCTCTTCTATAGAATCTAGGACTAACTCAGGGTTCCTCCTGGCATAGAAGAAACCTTTCCTACTTCCGAAAATACCATGAGATACCCCATATTAATTCTAACTCCAGACCACAAGCTGAATACAACAATTAAACTGTAATAACTATTGCTATCATTGTATTAGTTTCTATTACCCCTCATAAACAAGGTTCTTTCATGCTATATCTACATAGTTCTCAGACCGTAAAATCGATCAGAGCTTAGATTAACTTTTTCTTATTGGAAACTAACTGCAGTTGTTTTTAATTTTATAAAAATAACTGTGTTTAAATTTATTCTTTTTAAAGTTAGATACTGAGATGGATTTCTCTAACGATGTATAAAACATTGCACAGTGGTCCAGGAACTTGTAAATGTTCTGTACCACTGTGCATTGGCCAAATAGAAGATAAAAAACCTGTTTTCCGCTCCAATGCATCTGAGATATCGTAGAAATGCGAGTCAGCTGTTTTTTACAGATTAGGTTCTTGATCAGACCGCTCATAGAACAGTTCAGACCTTTCCGTCCACCAATTTATCTTTATTCGTCAGGAAACCTGTAATCTCTTGATAGAAATGGCGCAAAAATATTTGGATCCTTCAACAATCTTCCAGATAGAGGTAGTAATCCTTTAATCCTACAAACTTGAGATTTATTATTAAATCCTTTATTAAAATTCTAATTCAATAAATCAAACTTTTGTCTGCCTTTTCTTATCAATTCTATACTTTCAATCCTTCCCATATGCATTTTATTCAATGAATACGCAGATTGACAAGAATTAAAGTGTTAAAATGATAACCTTAAAGCGTACTTCTCTCCCAACAGTCAGTATTACCGATATAAATTGTTAAAAAGTAAGATCGAAAGCCCTCCATGGTTAGAAAGTAAAAAGTTCCCAAAAAGTTACTATTATAGCTAATACATCTCCTGCTCCATCTGTTTGAACTGTGTTATCATTTAAAGGAATTGAGTCTTTGCCACAAACTCTGAGTTTTTAATCAAATAATCTGAGTTTGAAATATCAAAGGTTTACAACATTGGGTTCTAAAGATATTGAGGTTTAAATATTTGATTTTGTTCCAAAGACTCAATTCCTTTGATAATAATAATAATAATAATGATAATAATAATAATAATAATAATACTTTTTTTACTAGCAATATAAAGCAAAGCTGCCGAGCTACTTTACCGGAGAAAAAACTCCCAAAACTTGGGAATTCCAGGTTAGACAATTATATTGGCTGCAAACTTTGAAACAACTTCCTTCCAATCAGTCATGTTTTCCTAACTTGTATCATGCTTTTTCGGAAATCCTGGAAGTGTGCTATAGAGAAATATAAACAAAATTTTAGAAGAAAAAGTTTTGTTTACAATCCTCCAAGAAACTGCAGTACACCTTTTTATAAACAAGGAGTTAGGGGTTCTAGCTTTCTTGACATCTATATATATACTTTGCTTGTTTATCTGGGTGTTTTTTTTGTATCCAATAAAAGTAAAAAACGGCTAAACAGATCGTGACCAACTTTTTTGATGAGACTCCAGGGAAGGTTCATGGATGATCGAATTTTCAAAATTTACCTGTAATAAACTTCGATTTTTGAAAATTTTAAAAAATCCAAGAATTTTTTTTATAAAATCCGCGAAATATTTTGTTCGTTTTTGTTTTACAATGTATACACAGAGAAACTGACTCATGCTTGTATAATTCTTAAAGAAAAAGGACATCAGTCTTTGCCACAAACTCAAATTTATGTTTCTACTTGGATTTTTTCATTTAACAGAATTCATAGTTTGAATTAGCCAAGGTCTACGACATTGGGTTATAAAGATATAGGGATTAGAAAATCAGAGTGACAAAGACTTTTTACTGGTACAAACTACAAAGAGACGCCATTAAAGCAATAATTATGTGTATTTGATGTTGTTACAAGGAAAATAGTTTTATTAACTTATCAAATCACTTATTAAGTGAAATGGATCTGTTACGTCATAACTTGAGTCTATTAGTCGTCTTCCTATTCCTTCCTTAAAAAATGTAATTAACTTAAGCTACAGTTGTGTACATTCTCTCCCCAAATTGCAGAAAGGAATTTTTTATTCGCAACAAACTTTAACTTTTTAATCCCTATATCTTTGCAACTTAAAGGCGCAAAATTTTGATATTTCAAATTTTAAATAATTGATCTAGTAGAATTCATAGCTTAAACTGTATCTAAGGCGTATTATGACATCAGGATGCAAAGATATAGAGATTAAGAAATAGAAATTATGAATACAGGAAATTGATTTTTTTCTTCATGTTTTTCTATATTAAAACATATTTATTGTTTATTTTTAGGAACACTTGGTTTTCAAGAGATTTGACAGTTTTCTTGAAAGACTCGGAATAATCAAAGAGTTCTTCAACACTGCTCAGCAGTTCCTAAAGCTAGAGAAGGTTGAGATAGGAGGTATCCGGGGTAAAGCTCTAACTACAAATATAAACAAGGTTCACGAGGAGTTTAAGGATCTATACGGAATATTTGCCAACCGAACCTATGACAGCCTGGATCCACAGGATCGGGGATTTCTCCGAGATTATGAAAAGTTTAACAGCAAAATCTTTGGGTTAGATAGGAAACTCGGAGCTATTCTCAGCAGAGCATTTGATGATTGTATAGTGACCGAATCTATTTTTAAACTTCTTCATATCTTTGGAACCCTGATACAGAGAAGTCTGATTGCTCTTGAGCTCTCAGATAAAATGCCTTTGCTGGTCTGTATGCTTAACACGGAGATGGATGAGGCCAAGGTGATCTACAACAAGCAGCAGAAGAGAATAAAGGACTCTGGAAAGGCACTGACAGATCGAAACATGCCTCCGGTCTCGGGTCAACTCAAGTTCTCACAAGAACTCAGGAATAAGATTTCCTCCAGTGTTCGAAGCTTCAAGGAGCTCAGTCATCCTATCTGCTATTCTGAAGGAGCAAACCTTGTGTTTAGAAAGTATAAGGAGATGATTGCTGTGCTAGATAGTTATGATGAAGAGGTGTTCAAGAATTGGACTCTCTCAGCTGAGAAAAAAACGTTAGAGGGACTAAACAGACCATTAATCATCCGAGACAAAAAGGACGGAACTCTAAAAGTAAATTTTGGCCGGGACACTTTTTCAATACTTACTGAGGTTAAGCATCTGAGAAAAGATTTCCCAAAGAGATCACTCCCAGCTAAGGCTCTGGAAATATTCCAAAGGTTTGATGACTTCCGCAATTATAACAACAGTTTGGAGCAGAGTGTAGGCTTGTACAACTACTTGAAGCTGCAGACTGTAGAGCAGGAGTACAGGTTGATTGAACAAGAGATTTTGGATATTGACAAAGACCTGGAGGCAGCAGAGGAAACATTGAACTGGAATTCAGAAAATATTTGGGATTATATTGAGGATATTAGGAAAAAGGTTTATAACATAAACTCCAGGGTTAGAAAAGGACAGGAGAATGTTATCAAGATAAACAAAGAGATTACAACTTGGGAAAATATTCCAATCTTTGAGAGAATCAAGGATCTAAAATCTGAACCCTTGCTTAATCTGAAAGACAAGGAGGAAAACAAGAAGAAGAGGTATGGAGAGATAGAAATGGCTCGGGAAAAAATAAAAGAATTAGTTAAAGAGAATGAGCAACTTTTCCTTGCACATGAAGAGAAGAACCTAAAAAACTGGGAGCAGTATCAAATCTATTTGGATGAAATGATTATAAGTGGTTTGCTCCAAACTATTGCAGTCAGTATAGGATATCTCTTGGATGAAACAGATGTTAAGAAAAACATAACTCCACTGTTTGATGCTAAACTTGAACTATGTGAACCTGACATAATCTTCCAACCTTCTCTAGACATAAACATGGTCAATAACTTTTATGACATTTTGGTTGGTATTGTAGATGATATTTTTTACATGTCTGCTCTTGTTCCTAGAGTAGTTAGTTCAGAAGGATCAAACTATCTTGAGATAATATCAGAGCATGAAGAGCTGAAACAACTGAAGAAAGAACTGATTTCTCGAGTTAGTCTTGTTATTGAGCAGGCTAACAACCAGAAAAATACATACCTGGAGTATTCCTATCTCTGGACGGAGAGCAGACAAGATTATCTTTACTTTTTCCTCAACTATTCAAGACAGCTCACACAAGAAGAGATAGATCTAGTAGATGAGGATGAAAAGGCAATTAAGAAGCAATATCCAACTTTAGAACAGTTTAAGGAACAGATTGATCATTACGAAGCAATTCATGATGAAGTTAAGCAGATAGAAAACACAAAGATTTTTGAAGCATGGTTCAGAGCAGATATTTCACCCTTCAAGATATCTCTCATGAACTGTGTAAAGAGATGGAGTTACGCATTCAAGAAGCATCTCCTGGAACATGTTACTGAGAGTCTTTCAGAACTTAACAAGTTTATTGATGAAGCTGATGAAGGTTTGATGACACAGGTTCATGAGGGGGATTATGAAATGCTGATAAAGGTCATGGAGTTTCTACAACTGGTAAAAGAAAGGCAACCAACCACTGATACAATGTTTGAACCCCTGAAGGAAATTATTGATCTACTGAGAAGCTATGGTGTGGTGATCCCCGAGGAAAGTCTTGTCCAGTTACAGGAACTACCAGAGAAATGGTCGAACACTAAACGTCTCAGTCTTTCAGCTAAACAGCAGGTAGCTCCACTACAAGGTATGGAGATAGGAAAGCTGAAGGGGAGAATTGAAGATTATGAAAAGTCTCAGAAAGAATTTCGTTTGAATTATCAACAAATGAGATTTTACTCATACAATTGCAAGTCTCCATATGAGCATCTATCTGCCGCAAACATAAAGATAGAGATATTAGAGAATGAAGTAAAGGAATTGCAATCTGAAGCTGCTTTGTTTGAGGTTCAGGTTCCAGATTTCCCTCTTACTAAACAGTGTAGGAAAGAGAACAGGATACTTAAGCAGCTTTGGGATTACATTTTCCTGGTCAGAACATCAATTGACGAATGGAAAACTACAGCCTGGAAAGATATTGACGTAGAAAACATGGATATGGAATGCAAGAAATTTGCTAAAGATATTCGAGGATTGGATAAGGAAATGAGAACTTGGCATGCATATATTGGGCTAGAAACAACAGTAAAAAATATGTTGACTTCCCTAAGAGCTGTAGGAGAACTTCAGAACAGTGCTATTCGTGAGCGTCATTGGCAGCAATTGGTTCAGGCTACAAAAGTACAGTTCTCTATGAGTGATGACACAAATCTGGCAGATTTGTTAAACCTTAATCTTCATAATTTTGAAGACGAGGTTCATAACATTGTGGACAAAGCTTGCAAGGAGATGGCGATGGAAAGGATGCTAAAGGATCTTGATGTTACATGGGATACAATGGAGTTTGAACATGAACTTCATGCTAGGACAGGTTACACTTTGCTCAGGGCAAGTGAAGAGCTTATTGAAACCCTTGAAGAAAATCAAGTTCAATTACAAAATATGATGACTTCAAAGTATATTGGGTACTTTTTAGAAGAAATTTCAGCCTGGCAGAAAACTTTGTGCATGGTGGATCAGGTTATATCTACCTGGTTTGATGTTCAGAGAACTTGGTCCCACTTGGAGTCAATCTTTATAGGTTCAGAGGATATAAGAAAGCAGCTTCCTGAGGACTCTCAAAGATTTGATGATATTGATACTGAATTTAAAGGTTTGATGGTTGAAATGGCAAAGACTAAGAAGGTGGTTCATGCCACTAATGTTAAAGGTCTTGCTGAGCAGCTGGAGGTAATACAATCACAGTTATCTCTGTGTGAGAAGGCTTTGGCAGAATATTTGGAAACCAAACGCCTTGCATTTCCCAGGTTCTATTTTGCCTCATCTGCAGATCTCCTTGATATTCTATCAAATGGAAATCAACCTCTAAAGGTAGCAAAACATCTTACTAAACTGTTTGACTCCATGGCTAAGCTGAAAATGCTTGAAGTTGATGGAGTACCAAGCAACACTGCAATATCTATGACAGCTAAAGATGGAGAAATTGTTAAATTTTCTTCTCCTTGTGTTTGTGAAGGGCAGGTAGAAGTTTGGCTCAATAAATTGATGAATGCAATGAGAGCTACAATCAGACATGAGTTCTCACAATCTATGTCTACCTATGAGGAGAGACCTCGAGACCAATGGCTGTTTGAATATCCAGCTCAGGTGTCTCTAGCTGGAACTCAGATTTGGTGGACTTCAGAAGTAAGTGCAGCATTTGCTAGATTAGAGGAGGGTTATGAAAATGCTCTGAAGGATTATTACAAAAAACAGATTGCTCAACTAAACAACCTCATCACTCTTCTCCTTGGAACTCTTTCAGTTGGAGAACGGCAGAAAGTAATGACAATCTGTACTATTGATGTCCACTCCAGGGATGTTGTCAGCAAAATGATTCAGAACAAAATTGAGTCTGCATTTGCTTTCAGTTGGCAATCCCAACTGCGTCATAGATGGGATAATAATGAAAATGATTGTTTTGCTAATATCTGTGATGCTCAGTTTAAGTACTGGCATGAGTATCTCGGAAATACCCCTAGGCTTGTAATTACTCCACTTACTGATAGGTGCTATATTACTCTAACACAGTCTCTTCATCTGATTATGGGAGGAGCTCCTCAAGGTCCAGCCGGGACAGGGAAAACAGAGACAACCAAAGATCTGGGAAGAGCAATTGGAATGATGGTTTATGTGTTTAATTGTTCTGAACAAATGGATTATAAATCATGTGGTAATATCTTTAAAGGTCTTTCTCAGACTGGAGCCTGGGGCTGCTTTGATGAATTCAATAGAATTACAGTAGAAGTTTTGTCTGTTATTGCTGTGCAGGTGAAGAGTATTCAAGATGCAATCAGAGAAAAGAAAGAAATTTTTGATTTCATGGGAGAAGAAATCCCGATGAATCCAACTGTTGGATACTTTATTACAATGAATCCTGGATATGCAGGCAGAGCAGAACTACCTGAAAACTTAAAAGTTTTGTTCCGACCCTGTGCCATGTGTGTTCCAGATCTAAGATTAATCTGTGAGATTATGTTGGTTGCAGAGGGGTTCCTTGAGGCTAGAAGCCTGTCAAGGAAGTTTATAACTTTGTATAAATTATGCAAAGAGCTTTTATCTAAACAAGATCATTATGACTGGGGGTTGCGAGCTATTAAATCAGTGCTTGTTGTTGCTGGTTCTCTTAAAAGAAGTGATAGAGAACGTCCTGAGGAGCAAGTACTAATGAGAGCCTTGAGAGACTTCAACTTACCAAAAATTGTTGCAGATGACAATCCAGTTTTTCTTGGACTTATCTCTGACCTGTTCCCCAATCTAGATGTTCCCAGGAAGAGAGACTTGGAATTTGAAAAAGCTGTTAAGCATGCTGCTTGTGATCTTAAATTACAACCTGAAGAAAACTTTATCATGAAAATAGTTCAATTGGATGAACTTCTTTTTGTAAGACATTCTGTTTTTATTGTTGGAGATGCTGGGACAGGGAAAACTCAGATGTGGAAAACTTTGTTCAGAACTTATCAGAATCAAAAGAGGAAACCGGTTTTTACAGACTTGAACCCTAAAGCAGTAACCAATGATGAGTTATATGGAATTATAAATCCAGCCACCAGAGAGTGGAAAGATGGTTTATTCTCCAACATTATGAGAGATTTAGCTAACTTGACCTCGGATGGACCCAAGTGGATGATCTTGGATGGAGATATTGACCCCATGTGGATTGAATCCTTAAACACCGTGATGGATGACAATAAAATATTAACTCTTGCTAGTAATGAAAGAATAGCTTTAACTCCTGAGATGAAGTTAATCTTTGAGATATCACATCTGAGAACTGCAACTCCAGCTACTGTATCCAGAGCAGGGATTCTTTATATAAATCCAGGAGACTTGGGATGGAATCCTTATGTAACAAGTTGGGTGGAGACTAGAGAAAACACTGCAGAGAAAGCTAATCTCACCATACTGTTTGACAAATATATTCCAGTAATGCAAGATATAATCAGTAAAAAATTCAAAAAAATTACCCCAATACCAAGTATAAGTCATATTCAAATTCTGTGCAGATTATTGGAATCTTTGATAGTTCCATCCAACCTTCCTGCAGATTCAACCAAGGAGTTGTACGAAATATATTTTGTATTTTCAGTTGTCTGGTCCTATGGTTCTGCTCTTTATCATGATGGAGCAACTGACTACAGGGCAGAGTTTTCCAAATGGTTCATGAATGAGTTTAAATCTGTTAAATTTCCTCCTGGAATGTCTGTATTTGATGTCTGGGTTGATCCCATAGCTGGTGATTTTACTTCGTGGAATGACAGAGTTCCTAAGTTTGAATTGGATGCTGATGTTCCACTTCAAGCTTGTCTGGTACACAACTCTGAAACTATAAGAGTTAAATATTTTCTGGATATTCTGGTGAACACAAGATTTCCTGTTATGCTGATTGGTCTAGCAGGTTCAGGTAAAACACTTCTAATCAATGAAAAACTTGGCCAACTGGATGAAAATTTTATGGTAGCCAATGTTCCATTTAATTTCTACTACTCTGGGGAGATGACTCAAAAGATTTTAGAGAAGCCTCTTGAAAAGAAGGCAGGAAAGAACTACGGACCCCCAGGTAACAAAAAGCTGATCTACTTCCTTGATGATATGAATATGCCTGAAGTTGATACTTATGGAACAGTTGGGCCTCATACCATTATCAGACAGCACCTGGACTATGGTCACTGGTATTGCAGGAATAAGTTAACCCAGAAGGATATTCATAATTGCCAATATGTTGCATGCATGAATCCAACAGCTGGAAGTTTCACCATAAATCCCAGGCTTCAACGCCATTTTGCCACATTTGCTGTAGTGTTCCCTAGTGCAGAATCATTGTTTACAATCTACAATGCTATACTCTCAGATCATCTGGAGAATACTGGCAATAAGTTCACATTCCTAGTCCGGAAAATGTGCACCAATGTTGTCAATGCAACACTTCAACTCCATGCTAAGGTTTCTCAAGTATTTTCACCAACAGCTATAAAGTTTCACTACATTTTCAATCTTAGAGATCTCTCCAATGTGTTCCAAGGAATGTTATTTTCTACAAATGAATGTGTACAGACTCCAACAGATTTAGTAAGACTCTGGTGTCATGAAACCATGAGAGTTTATAGAGATAAGCTTGCTGACGGAAAGGATATAGAAACGTTTGACAAAGCTCAGAAAGATATACTAAAGAAAACATTTGATGATATTCCAGAACAGGAAGTACTGACTAATCCTTTAATATATTGTCATTTTGCAAGAGGCATAGGAGAACCCAAATATATGCCAATATCTAATTGGGAAAACCTAAATAAAATATTGACTGATGCTTTAAAAGGGTACAATGAACTAAATGCTGCAATGGATCTGGTTTTATTTGAAGATGCCATGATGCACATTTGCAAAATAAACAGGATTCTAGAATCTCCTCGAGGAAATGCTCTTCTGGTTGGAGTTGGTGGCAGTGGTAAACAGTCCCTTTCAAGACTGTCAGCATACATCTCTTCTATGGAGGTTTTCCAGGTCACTTTAAGAAAAGGATATGCAATACCAGATCTAAAAGCAGATTTAGCTAATCTTTATCAAAAGACAGGATTAAAAAATTTGGGGACTGTTTTCTTAATGAGTGATGCCCAAGTTGCAGATGAGAAGTTTTTGGTTTTGATCAACAACCTCCTTGCATCAGGAGAGATCCCTGATCTTTTCAGTGATGATGACACTGAGAATATTGTTACTATGGTTAGGAATGAGGTGAAAGGAGCTGGAATTCCAGATACAAGAGAAAATTGTTGGAAATTTTTCATAGACAGAGTTAGGAGACAACTTAAAGTTGTGCTTTGTTTCTCGCCAGTAGGTACAACTCTTAGGGTAAGAGGAAGGAAGTTTCCAGCAATCATCAACTGTACATGCATTGACTGGTTCCATGAATGGCCTGATGAAGCTTTAATGTCTGTATCACTGAAGTTCTTGAATGAAGAGGAATCAATCCCAGAGCCAATAAGAAAATCAATAGGCCAATTTATGGCTTTTGTTCATCAATCTGTCAGTGATATGTCTAAAATCTACAGGCAAAATGACAAAAGATACAATTATACAACACCTAAATCTTTCCTAGAACTCATCAATCTGTATAGAAGAATACTGTCAAATAAAAATGCAGAATTAAAAGGGAAAATTGCACGTTTGGAGAATGGTCTTGAAAAACTGAGAGTTACAGGAGAACAGGTGGATCAGTTAAAAGCCCAGCTAGCTCTTCAGGAAGTAGAGTTAGCCAAGAAAAATGAAGAAGCTGATAATCTTATAAAAGTTGTAGGGATTGAAACTGAAAAAGTAACACAAGAAAAGGCTTTTGCTGATGAGGAGAAAATCAAGGTTGATCAAATAAACATTGATGTTGCAGGTAAACAAAAAGATTGTGCTGCTGATTTGAAAAAAGCAGAACCTGCTTTGATTGCTGCTCAAGAAGCATTGAATACTTTAAATAAAGCAAACCTCACTGAATTAAAGTCTTTTGGTTCGCCTCCTCCTGCTGTCCTAATGGTTTCTGGAGCTGTCATGGTTTTAATTTTGGGCCAATCTGGAAAAATTCCCAAAGATAGATCCTGGGCAAAAGTAAAGCTGATGATGAATAAAGTTGATCAATTTCTTGATGGTCTAGTTAATTATGAGAAGGAAAATATACACCCCAACGTTCTAGTTGCAATGGAACCATATCTTAGGGATAAAGAATTTGAACCTGAGTTTATAAGAACCAAATCTGCTGCAGCTGCAGGTCTATGCTCCTGGGTTATAAATATCATAAAATTTTATGAAGTTTACTGTGATGTTGAACCTAAGAGAAGAGCCCTAGAAGATGCTAACAAACAATTGTCAGATGCCAAGGCAAAGTTAGAAAGTATTATCAGCAAAGTTGTTGAACTTGAAGAAACATTAACAACACTAACAAACCAATACAAGGCTGCTGTAGCTGCTAAGATAAAATGTCAGAAAGATGCTGATGCCACATCGGCTACAATTTCTCTAGCCAACAGGCTGGTTGGGGGATTGGCATCAGAAAAAATCAGATGGGGTGATTCAGTAAACCAGTTGAAAGACCAGGCAAAAATGCTTCCAGGAGATGTACTTTTAGTGTCAGCCTTTATTTCATACCTAGGTTGTTTTACTAAGCAGTATAGAATTGAGCTGTTGGAAAAGAAATGGTTGCCCTATCTAAAGAAAGTTCCGAAACCAATTCCAATGTCTCTGGGTTATGTTGGAGCAAATGTACTGTCTCTACTCACAGATGATGCAATTATAGCAGGTTGGAACAATGAAGGTCTGCCCAGTGATGCAATGTCTACTGAAAATGCTACAATTTTAACCAATTCAATAAAGTGGCCACTGATGATTGATCCTCAACTTCAAGGCATAAAATGGATCAAGAATAAATATGGAAAAGATCTCACAGTAATTCGATTGGGACAGAGAAATTATCTTGAGATTGTTGAAGAAGCTGTGAGTACTGGATCTGTCCTTCTTATTGAAAATCTTGGTGAGGATACAGATGCTGTTCTTGATCCTCTGCTTGGTAGAATGTTAATAAAGAAAGGCAGAGCAATAAAACTCGGTGACAAGGAAGTGGAATATAATCCAAAATTCCAGCTTTTCCTTCAAACAAAGCTTGCTAATCCTCATTATAAACCTGAGCTGCAAGCACAAACAACACTTATCAACTTCACTGTAACTAGAACAGGTTTGGAAGATCAGCTACTTGCTGAAGTTGTGAAAGCAGACAGGCCTGATCTTGAGGATCAAAAAGCTGAACTTACCAGGCAGCAAAATGAATACAAGATTCTTCTTAAATCCCTGGAAGATGATCTGCTGATGAGGTTGAGCTCTGCAGGAGACGATATTCTTAGTGATTCCGCTCTTGTAGAAAACCTGGAGAGCACCAAGAAGACAGCAGCTGAGATTGAAGTCAAAGTTACAGAAGCTAAGAAAACATCTTTTGAAATTGATAAAGCAAGAGAATTATACAGACCTGCTGCTGCTAGAGCCTCTGTTTTGTATTTCATATTAAATGATCTGAACAAAATAAATCCCATGTATCAATTTTCTCTGAAAGCTTTTAGTGTTGTGTTTGATGTTGCAATACAAAGAGCTGTAATGGAAAATGATGTCTCATTACGAGTAAAAAACCTAACAAATTCAATATCATTCCAGGTGTTTCAGTATACAACACGAGGATTGTTTGAATGTGATAAGCTTATTTTCACAGCTCAAATGGCCTTCCAAATTTTGCTGATGAACCAGGAAATAAATCCTGTGGAATTGGACTTCTTGCTCAGGTTTCCAACAATGCCCAATATTACCAGTCCAGTTGATTTCATCTCCAATATTGGCTGGGGAGCAATAAAAAGTTTGTCAGCTATGGAAGAGTTTAGAAATCTTGATCGTGATATTGAGAATAATGCAAAAAGATGGAGAAAGTTTGTTGAGGCAGAATCTCCAGAAAAAGAAAAGTTTCCCCAAGAGTGGAAAAAGAAAGACGCATTGCAAAGACTCTGTATGATGAGAGCTTTGAGGCCTGATAGAATGACCTATGCTGTTCAGGGCTTTGTGGAAGAAAATCTTGGACCTCGATACATTTCCAATAAATCAGTCCCATTCCAGGAATCCTTTGATGAGTCTGGACCAGCCACACCAATCTTTTTTATTTTGTCACCGGGAGTTGATCCTCTCAAAGATGTTGAAAATCTTGGAAGAAAGCTTGGTTACACCTCTGCAAACAAGAACTTTTTAAATATATCCTTAGGTCAGGGTCAAGAAGTAGTAGCTGAGGAAGCAATGGAGAAGGCATATGCGAATGGTCATTGGGTTGTTCTTCAAAATGTTCACTTGGTAAAGCTCTGGCTTCCAATTTTAGAAAAGAAAATAGAAGAACAGTCTGAAGGTGCTCATGAAAACTACCGGCTTTTCTTAAGCGCAGACCCTGCCCCGTCTCCTGCTAGCCATATAATACCTCAGAGTATTTTAGAAACCTCGATTAAGATCACAAACGAGCCTCCTACTGGAGTACATGCAAACCTTCACAAAGCTCTGGAAAACTTTACACAAGAGACTCTAGAAATGTGTTCTAAAGAAGCAGAATTTAAGAGTATTTTATTCTCTTTATGCTATTTCCATGCTGTGGTAGCAGAAAGAAGGAAGTTTGGTCCTCAAGGTTGGAATAAATCTTATCCATTCAATACAGGAGATCTAGTGATCAGTATGAACGTTCTCTATAACTACCTGGAGGCTAATAACAGAGTTCCATGGGAGGATCTCAGATATCTCTTTGGAGAGATCATGTATGGAGGACATATCACTGATGATTGGGATAGGAGGCTATGTAAGGTGTACCTGGAGGAGTATATGCATCCTGATCAGCTAGACGGAGAACTCATGCTTGCTCCAGGGTTTGCAACCCCTCCAAACAGTGACTATGCTGGGTATCATAACTACATAAACCAACATCTTCCATTAGAATCCCCTCATCTTTACGGTCTCCATCCTAATGCTGAGATAGGTTTCCTCACTGCTACATCAGAGAAACTGTTTAGAACTGTGTTTGAGTTGCAACCCAGAGAGTCAGGAAGTGGAACTGGACAAGTTACAACAAGGTATAATTAATATAACTTCTAATTGGGGTCCACCGCTTAAACTTTTAAATTAAAGTGTTTAAGTTTAATCCTTACCAGGGAAACTAAACCAAAAATATGATTAAAAAAAGATTTTAAAAAAGGGATTTTTATCTTTGACGACTTAAATTAAACTGTCTTAGTAAGGGGAACTATCTGAGCACATTGTAAACAAAGGCATTAAGTCTTTTCCGCAAACTTTGATTTTTTAATTCCTATATCTTTGCAACCCAAATTTGGTAGACCTTAGATTTTTTAAACTATGAATTTTGTTAGATTAGATGATCTAAGTTTGAAACATCAAAGGTTTACATCATCAAGTTGCAAAGATATAAAGGTTAGACAATTTGAGTTTGAGGCAAAGACTAAATTTGATTGAAAACCCAAAGTTCCGAGGTGTGATCTAACTAACTATTATTGTTTAGAGAAGAGAAGGTGAAAACTATAGTTGACGATATTATGGAGAAAATGCCAGAACAATTCAATATGCCTGAGATCATGGCAAAGGTTGAAGAGAGAACCCCGTATGTTATAGTTTGTTTCCAGGTGATATAAATAGTATTCAAAATCAAAATCAAATTCAAAATCAAATTCAAAATCAAATTCAAAATCAAAAAAATCAAAACCAAAATCAAAATCACCAACAAAAAATTTGGGCCCAATCGGTTCAACCGTTTTGACGTTTATTGGATTTACAAGTCTTCTCTTTCCCCTTTTTTTGGAGGCACTCCTAAATTAGACACCGAAAAACTATGCAATAAAGATGATGCATTAATATTTATCATATTTTAGGAGTGTGAAAGAATGAATACTCTGACTGCTGAAATGAAAAGATCCCTAAAAGAGCTCGATCTAGGGTTGAAGGGAGAGCTGACTATTACTTCAGATATGGAGGATCTTTCAAACTCATTGTTTTTTGATCAGGTCTTTCTCTCATCCTAGCTTTTTTTAAACATTTAAAGGAATTGTTCAAATATTTAAAGAATATTAAAACTTTCAGTTTTCAGAAATCAATCTCTGGAATCATAAAAAAAGGACAAAATCACCAAAAAATATCAAAAATAGAATTCTTCTATTTATAAACAGGTTGAAGGACAAAAGGAGATTATATCTTTGTATTTTTTTGGAAAACTTTAAAGGAATGGATTGAATATTTTTTATACAAACTGCATAAATCAAAAATTCGATGCTTTAATTCAGGATGATTTTGAAATTGCTTTACAATTTTTACGTCTTAGATTAGAATACTCACATTGATAAACGTAATTGAACAATTCTTTCTTTAAACACGGCAGACTTTTTTGTGGTTTGATTATAATTATTCGGGTTGTAATGGTTGAAACTATTCTAGGTTCCTCCGTCCTGGACCAACCTTGCATATGCTTCCCTCAACGGTTTATCTGGTTGGTATGCTGATCTCCTTCTCAGGATTAAAGAATTAGAATCCTGGACCTCGGACTTTAATCTTCCAACATCTATCTGGTTATCAGGGTTCTTCAATCCACAATCCTTCCTCACGGCCATCATGCAGAGCACAGCCAGGTTCTCATCTTTTAAGGGAACCACCGACATTTCGTAAAATTGAACATAACTAAAAATATCATGATTTTATTCATCCCCGAGTATTCTTCCAAAATATCTCTGAACTGGATTTGTCGAAGAGCTGAAAAAACTAAACTTGTACTGAGATAGAATAGTATACGATTATATTACTACTTTCCAAATTTCACTTAATAAACCCCAATAAATATATGAAGTGTTTACAACTATTAAAAGGAGATATCAAAAAATAAAATATTTACACATTGTTTATCCTTTTAAAAATTACTGAACCATTATTTTTAAAACATTTAAAATTTTGAATAAACATGAAGAGATTCAAATTATCATGAAGAGATTCAAATTATCATGAAAAAAACAAAATTTCAAATATTTTTTGAAGGAATTTTGTTTTCCACATCAGCTTATTGAATACAAACCTTTCACATTTGTGTTAAACAAGTTCTCCCTGATTTAGGAAGAATGAACTACCCCTGGATAAGATGTGTCTAGTGTGCGAGGTGACTAAGAAACAGAAGGAGGAGATTACAGCAGCACCTAGAGAAGGAGCATATATTCATGGACTATTCATGGAGGTAATTAATCAAATTATATAATTTCTGATTATTAAAAGCAGTTTTCTTGTATTTGTTTAACGAGGAATAGGACGGAAAAGATATTGAATGAAATCATGACTTTTCTGACTGATAGTAGGACGGTAAAGAACATGTTGGGATAAGATGGAGTAGGACAAAAATTTAGTATATTGGAATAAGAAAGAGTAGGACAGAAAATATAAGGATTAGGAGAAGGACGGAACAGATTAAATTGGGATTGGGGATAAGGAGGACGGAATAGATAATATTTGGATGAGGACGAGTAGGACGGAAACGATAGTATTTGGATAAGTGGAGTAGGATGGAAAAGCATATATTAGGATAAGGAGATATAGGACAAAAAAGATAATATTGGGATAAGGAGGAGTATGACGGAATAGATTAAATTGGGATAAGGAGAAGTATACATATGACAGAAAATAATATATTGGGATAAGGAGGAGTAGGACGGAATAAATAATATTGGGAGAAGGAGAGGAAGGACGGAATAGATTATATTGGATAAAAGAAGTAGGACGGAATAGATTAAGTTGGGATAAGGAGAAGTACATATGACAGAAAATAATATATTGGGATATGTAGGAATAGGACGGAATAGATTATATTGGGATAAGGAGGAGTAGGACGGAAAGATATCATTGGGATAGGGAGTAGGACGAAAAGAAAATTATTGGTATAAGAAGGAGTAGGACGAAGACGGAAGGTAGAAAGAAAATGAGAAGATGGTTTCAAATTTTCTAATTTCACCTAAACCAATCTATACAGGGAGCAAGATGGGACATTAATACAGGATCTATAGCAGACTCTAAACTTAAGGAACTTCATCCAAACATGCCTGTTATGTTTATTAAGGCAGTTACTCAGGTATAGTTTACTATATCTGCATCAATGGATTGATTTATTGCCAATTTATTTGCAATATTATGATTTTAGCACACACTAACTTGCAAATATGGACCATGCATCAGTTCATCAATTTATTCTGGTATTCTCAAACTCTAGATTCTGCAAAACAACATTTTAATTTAAAAAATTCCCATGCAAAGTGAAAACGAATTATACCATCGTGTTGTTCCATTTAAAACAAATAAATTTATCGCTACGCTATTAGAAAGTATTATAAAAATTAAGCGTTTGGCGTAAATTATCGCTTTAAAACCTACGCATTATGTACAGTTTTCTTTTGTTTACAAGTTGGCTTGACTGTACCATCTGTATGGTGCAAGCTTGTTTAAAAGTAAAGATTAAACCCAATATTTCCGTGGAAAGTGACTAGAAATATTTTGTATCTATTTCCCTACTAGGATATTTTGTATCTATTTCCCTACTAGGATATTTTGTATCTATTTCCCTACTAGGATATTTTGTATCTATTTCCCTCCTAGGATAAGCAAGAGGTCCGAACTCTGTACGAATGTCCTGTTTACAAAACAAGACAAAGAGGTAAATCACTTATAAGTTAAAGATTAAAATTTTTTATAAATACATAAGATTGTCCCTTAATTTCTATATATTTTTACCTGAGAGTTACTGATCCAATCCATTGACTTTCTTTCAGTAAGAGTTACTCAACCAACTTTTATTAACTAAGGGTTACTCAACGAATTTTATATAACTTAGAGTTACCAATCTCTTAAGTTCCTTTAGCTGAATTACTCAACCAATCCATTGACTTCCTTTAACTTAGAGTTACTTGACCAACTTTCTTTAACGGAGAGTTTCTCAACCAATCCCTTGACTTTCTTTAACCAAGAGTTACTCAACTAATCCCTTGACTTTCTTTGAATAAGAGTTACTGAACCAATTTGACTTTCTTTAACTGAGAGATACTCTACCATTCATTTGACTTTCTTTCACTAAAAGTTACTCAACTAATCTCTTTCTTTAACCTATAGAGTTACTTAACTAATCCATTGACTTGTTTCTTTAACTTAGTTTTACTCAACCAATCCTTTTGACTTTCTTTAACTGAGAAAAAAATGAAGTTTGTAGATATGTAGAATATGTAAATATATCTTTATTTATTTTAGGTCCAACCTATATATGGACATTTAACCTGAAGAGTAAAGATAAACCTAGTAAGTGGGTTCTGGCAGGGGTGGCTCTACTGCTTCAAATATAATATTTAATCAATAAATACTCAATATTTATCCCTACACAATATAATATATAAATAAAAAAATATGGAATATTTACAAAGATATTTGTTTGCTCAAGATAAGTGTATTGTAGATTTGTGAGAAATATAGGTAAAGTTTGTTCACATTCTTCTCAGAAATATTACCATACACTTTAATTTAAAGATAAAATATGTGGTTTCCGGTGCAATTTAGGTTTGATCCAGAAATATGGGCTACAGTGATAACCAGAAAACTCTGGAATAGGAAGATGATTTTTGGCCTTAATTTATGATTTTAAATAGTTCAATATGCATAGGATACAGCAATTGTTCAGTGTAAACAGACCCACAGCAAAATTACTTGTGATTTAATAAGTGTATAGTAAAACCATTTGTTTTGTAACAACATCAAATACACTATTTAAGAGTTTTCTGGTTATCACTGTAAAAAATCTAGTATGTAGAAAGACTAAGCTACAGTAATATAATTAATACCCATATTTTGAACTAATTATTAATGCTCTTTTTAATCCTATTTAAACGTAAACATCAAAAATACATATATTTAATATAATATTTTGTTGTTAAATTCTCATAAATATATCATCATTTAGACAAATATATAATCTCTAATCAGAATCTTTTATATTTGTTAAAGTTTTTGCATGCTTGGTGTAGACGTAATTTCGTGATTTCAAAGGACCCTTCATTTTTTGGGATTTTCGGAAAATATATGAATTCATTTGCGATTGCATGGAGTTCATACTGTACACTTGTGTATACTTGTGTACACTGTACACTTCTGAGCCCAAAACTTAAAACAGGGTATCGTTATGAAAACCAGTTTTGGAACCTGGGTTTCACAAATGGGTTTACCCAGTTTTGTAGATATCGATATTTTTGTTTTGAAAAAATATTTAATTTAGTTTCTTAATTTTACCATTTTTTTCGAATCTCTTAAATCAAAATCTGCACAAATAATAAGACCCCAAAAAGGAAACCCGGGAGTTTCGTTCAACGATACTCTTTTAAATTTTGGGCTCTGACGGTTTCGCGATATAGTGCAGTGAGAACCAGAAGACTTAGACCCAAAGTAATGACTTTAAATGTAAACAACCCATTCAACTCATTAAGTCATTTAATAAGTTACTTTTAACGTTTTGCTTTATAACATCATCAGATACACTTTAAGATTGCTAAAATGTCGTCTTTCTATTCCAGAATTTTCGGTCTCTCAAATTATTAATATTCATTCTGTAATTCTGTTTACTGATCGGAGTGTGTCAAGTTGATACATTTAGATTGTATCTGTTAAAATATTCCTATCCTGCTAATTGTTGCATCACCCCGACCCGGTCAACACATACCTGCTGTACACATAAGCAGGAGGAAATTTACTGACTAGGGGAGTTTAACTGCTCTATTCTCCCTCCTAACTGTCCTCTTAGGTTCTTCCAGTAATTATCTACGAATTAAAAAGTTTAAAAATTCTCCAGATCATTATAAAACACTATACAATACGGAAATACTGAATACGCAAATGAATCTGCAAATCCCTTTTACAAAGAATTACAGTGATCACTTCTTAGATATTGATCTAGGATGGTCACAAATACTGAATACGCAAATGAATCTGCAAATCCCTTTTACAAAGAATTACAGTGATCACTTCTTAGATATTGATCTAGGATGGTCACTAGAAATTTTTTAAATGAAATATAGCTTACACATACACTAGCGTATAAACTTCACGGAGTAGGCACAAAATCAGATTAGTTCTTCTCCTAAATCATAATGATGAAAACCAAACACCTTGTAGAGTAAACCGAAGGAGATCTACTCATTACTCAAAGAGTATAATTCGTCCAGAGCAGTCCTTTTAGTACTCATAGAATATACATTAGAGCAAACCTACGGCTGGATAAATGCTGGACAGACCTACTCCAAAAGTGTATTCTATATTAGAATCCTAATTCTTGAGTTAACTGTAGAACACCTATTCAAAAGTAAGAATCAGACCTACTCCTAAAATATATTTATAGAGAAATTTACTAAGAGGCAGAACAGACCTACTTCAAAAATTCACCAAATCATAAAAACTTATAGATTAATCTAGAGCAGAACTACTCCTTGGATAAACTAGACCAAACCTACTTACAGATTAAGATAGAGCTTACCTACTCCTAGAGTTTACTAGAGTAGACCTACTCCTAGAGTATACTTAAGCAGGCCTACTCATCGAGTTTACTAGAGCAGACCAACTCCTAGAGTATACTAGAATAGATCTACTTCAAGAGCATACTAGCTCAGACCTACTCTAAGAGTATCCTGGAGCAGACATACTCCTAGAGTATACTAGAATAGATCTACTCCTAGAGCATACTAGAGCAGACATACTCCTAGAGTACACAAGAGCAGATTTACTCCTAGAGCATACTATAGCAGACCTACTCCAAAGAGTTTACAAGATCAGAACTACTCCTAGACTTTTCAAGAGTAGACCTATTCCTAGAGTTTACACGAGCAGACCTACTCCAAGAGTTTACACGAGCAGACCTACTCCTAGAGTTTACTAGAGCAGACCTACTCCTAGAGTTTACTAGAGCAGACCTACTCCAAGAGTTTACACGAGCAGACATACTCCTAGAGTTTACTAGAGCAGAACTACTCCTAGAGTATCCTAGAGCAGACCTACTCCTAGAGTTTACTAGAGCAGAACTACCTTGAATTTAAAAGAGCATAGATTAAAATAAAGATTGTGTTTGAAGATTATAATTTGACAAATGTAAATGTTTTCATTGCTAAAACTTGTTTGCACAATATCAGATGCTTGTTTACCAATTCCTTCAAGTTTAAGCAAATATTTTGCATATCTCCAGTTCCTCCTTCCTGCACTAGATAGACTACAATATCTTCATTCCCTACTCCCAACACTAGACATAGACTACAATATTTCCAGTCCCTACTCCCAACACTAGGCATAGACTACAATATTTCCAGTCCCTACTCCCAACACTAGGTATAGACTACAATATCTCCTGTCCCTACTCCCAACGCTAGGTATACACAACAATATCTCCAGTCTCTACTCCCAACACTAGGTTAAACTACAATATCTCCAGTCCCTACTCCCAACACTAGGTATAGACTACAATATCTCAGTCCCTACTCCCAATACAAGGTTAAACTACAATATTATTGTTGGAAAGTAAATTAAGGACAAAACTTGATTCCTCAATTAGGGTCCGAAATGATAATTTTTAGATGGACATGTCCGATTCACAATGGTACCCTTTAAACCTTTGTCTTGGCAAAAATAATTGTGATATTATTGTTTTTCTATCTAAAAATGTAAACGTTTCTTTTGCGATTCTCTGAAATAGTAAATTGCGGATATAGGTATATATATATTTATATACAAATATAAATAAATGAAGAGAATATATTTTTATTTAATGCAGGAGAACAACATTAATTATCTTCCTTCTTAATTTAGTCAAGGGCTCCTTTAAGTAAAATTAATCTCATAAAAATTTATTTTTTGGCTGTTGATTGCTTGTTAGATGTTATCATATACTGCATAAAATACGGTGGCATTAAAAACGAAAATTAAAATTAGTAACAGAACTAAAGAAGACATATTTTATTTTATATTGTAATCAAGATTTATTTTATTGCTTCTATGTAATGATGTTAAAATATCAAGAAGAAACCGTGGGTTTATTTTTTACAGAAAAGGTTCGACACTCTATCAAACGTTGATTAGAAAAGGGAGTATATTGGATAAGGGGGAAGGAGAAGGAACTATATTGGATTAGGGGGAGGGAAGGAAAAGAGAGTATATTGGATAAGGGGGGAGGGAAGGAGAAGAGAGTATATTGGATAAGGGGGGAGGGAAGGATAAGGGGTTGATGTTTTTACTCCGAAAAGGCACACCCCACCAACCCCCAGTCATAACAATATTTAATATTTGCAGATGGTGGCAGGAGCAACCAATTCTAAAAATATATAAAATCGTATCTATGTAATTATTATTCTTGGAAAAAAGGAAAAAATAGAAGAAGAAAGAAACTACATACAACTTGTCATCCAACTAATCTCCTCAAATTTCGGTTAACCCCCCCCCCCTGGTTTGTTTATTATCCTGCCCCTGAGATTAGGGTCCCAGGGGTCAGAGATATCCATTAATTCAGGTTTTACGGCTTCACACCTCTTTATATGATAAACTGCAGACTCCAGGCTCAGATTAAATCATTTATTCACGAAATATTCATTCTTTAAAAAATTTTCCTCAAATAAAAATTCAGATCAAAGAAGTCAATGTTTGCATAAAATTAAAGAGTTACGAACAATATTTTATGTAATTTTGACTTCATCCGGCCTTAAAAGTAATTTTGACGAACCCTTAAAATGCCGTAAAAACTGCAGCTTTTTCTGCTAACCAATGCAATTTTAGAGGTTTCGTTTTTAACTAGTTCCCCCTTTTTTTAGAAAAAATGGATAGAAAAAATGTCGTACAATTGTTTACAATTCTTATCCAAAATTTGTTTTTTATTTATATTATAATTTTCGGGGAAAAAGTCTTAGTTTCTGTTCTCCAGTTTATTATGTTTATCTATCGTTGAATAGTGTAGTTTTGATAAACTATAGTCGTGTTTTCAAAATACTCCGACCCTAGTTTGTAAATTTTTCTCAGAAATATAAAAATATTTTGAGTTTTAACGGACAATGTTTATCAGCAATGTTACTGAACAGTATCTTGTATTTACAAGGTGACAACACTTAAACTTTTCATTCAATTATTCATTCATTCATTCATTCATCGCTTTCCTTAAATTCATCTTCGTCCTTCTTTCATTCATCCTTGCATATACTTATTCACCCTTGCATTTACTTATTCATCCTTGCATTTACTTATTCATCCTTGCATTTACTTATTCATCCTTGCATTTACTTATTCATCCTTGCACTTACTTATTCACTCTTTTACCATTTTTTTTCTCGAAAGGAGTTGATTCTTTGCCACAAACT